TGGACAACAGAAAAGTGGGTGAAGGGAGACGTCAGACAGTGTAAGATATGACAAAATAATAAAAATTTATAAATTATCAAGGGTTCATGAGGGAGGGGTGAGCGGGGAAGGAGGGGGTAAAATGAAGTGCTGATATCAAGGGCTCAAGTAGAAAGGAAATGTTTTGAGAATGATGATGGCAACAAATGTACAAATGTGCTTGACACAATGGATGTATGTATGGATTATGATAAGAGTTGTATGAGCCCAAAATAAAATGATTTTTAAAAAATGCCTCTGCTTACTTTTCAGTATTATAGGAATAAAGATGCAAAGGAAATAAGAAATTGTGCAGTTCAACATAGTTGATTTAGGAGCAACCAACCAGTGGATTTTCTGAATCCTAATTAAGCTGCTCTTCCAAGTAACATACCTAGTATTATTAGAGTAAATGAGGATGGCGCAAATATCAAGCCCTGTTTTGAGTGCTGCTTTGTTTTGGGTTTTTTTTTTAATACTTTTATTGGGGGCTCTTATATCTCCTATCACAATTCATACATTCATCCAGTGTGTCAAGCACCTTTGCACATATGCCACCATCATCATTTTCAAAGCATTTTCTTCCCACTTGAGCCCCTGATATCAACTACCCCTTTCTTCCCCCTCCCCTCCCACCCTCCCTCATGAACCCTTGATAAGTTATAGATTATTATTTCCATATCTTACATCATCCTCCGTCGCCCTTCACCCACTTTTCCATTATTTGTCCCCCTGGGACGGGTTCTAGATTGATCCTTGTGATCGATTCCCCTTTTCTTCCCCCACCATCCCCTAATCCTACGGGTATCTCTACTCTCATTTGGTGGCTTTATTTAGACCGTGTCACATATGTTGGATTTTCAGAGCATTTTACTACAGAGCACTCTTTGATACCCAGAGGATTCCTCTTTAACCACATTTAAGGAACCCTAGCTTTGGTATAGTTCTATGAGTTGGCCTGCTAACTGCAAGTTCAGACTATAGACACTTCCCTGGAGAAAGATGAGGCTGTAAAGATATATGGTCTCAGAAACCCACAGGGGCAGTTCTGTGCTGCCCTTTGAGGTCACTCTGAATCCATATTGAATCAATTCAATGGCCGTAGGTTTGGGTATTTTGGATTGAAAAAAAGTATTTTTATGAAACTATTGAAGTAGAATGATGTTAGATCGGATGGAGTACATATTGAAGTGGGGAAGACCAAGTTTCTAGTCAATCATGAATAATGACAAATACTTGCCTAAAACAAATCAGTGCAATTGGACTGGCCATGGGGATAAGTCAGGGAATAAGTAACACATTGGTTATGGACAAAGGAAAGCCCTAAAGCTAACTGAGGTTGGGGCTTGGTGAAGGTGGTAATCACCATTATAATGCTGCCATTCAGTTTTGTGTTAATATGATTTCGAAATTGTTTGATTTTTGTAATGCAAGACTACTGAAGAATAGTATCTAGATCAGTGGCTCTCAACCTAACTAATGCCATGACCCTTTAATATAGTTCCTCATGTTGTGGTGACCCCCCAACCATAAAATTATTTTCATTTCTACTTCATAACTATAATTTTGCTACTGTTATGAATCAGCCAACCCCTGTGAAAGGGTCATTCAACCCCCAAAAAGGTCGCAACCCACAGGTTGAGAACTACTGATCTGATACTATCTCTAGCCTTAAGAATTCCCGGGTTTTTCTAATCAGATTTATGTATTAGCAACTGTAGGTACTATGAAGAATGAACAAAAACTTTACCAGTTGACCTTCTATGAAGCTGAAATTTAGTAAAGGAAGTTATAAGCAAGTATATCATCTTCAGTTCTTAACAGCAATGGCTTTAGGTTTCCTCTCCCTCCCTTTGTATTTTGTGAATTTTTTCTATATTACTATTTTTATTTATGTCACTTTAGTTATTTTATACCAAATTTTTAATACTTAAGGTTCATTTTTATTATGCCATGTAGTCATAGCAATGGAGACCATCATTAAATAGAAACTCTATGAAAATTATCTTCAAATCTAGTAATTCTCAAGTTGCCCTAAGGTGGTTGGATTCTGTAAAGAGCATTTTTCAAAATTGTGAGTCTTCCAAGGAAGCAAGATAGAAGAAGTTGTGTTCTTGATTCTTTTGTGAGAAAAGGAAAGAGGATGCTCATCCACCTGAGGGACAGATAACTCATGGGATTTTTTTGGCCCTTCAAGTAAGAATATACCTTGGTGAGGTGATCATCCTGTATCTATTTATTTAGTTAAATCAATGACCCTGTTGTCATTTTAGTGCTTTACCATTAGGATTTTCAGTGTATTATTGTAGGTTTTAGTAAAAACCCAGTTGGCCTTGATTATATATTTTCTTTAGTAATTGAAAATAAAATTGTTAAATAAGTGATTTCAAAACTCAGGTGCAATATCAAACTCAGCCTTAAATGTTGCAGGCAGTATTTGCTATTATTACTTTTTCAATTAATTATTTAATTTGGTTTGCGAACTGATATCACTGCCTTTCTTTTTGTTTTCCCCTAAGATCTGCCATTTGTCATTTTAAGAGTAAAACAAATTCATTGTAAGCCACCAACAAAAATCATATAATCCTGAAGTATATCAAATGAAAGCGAAAGTTCTTTTTCACCTGAGATCATATGAATATACTACATAAGTATCCAACTATTTAGTCTTCTCTAGATAACCAAGTCTACAAAGTTTTCTCTACTTTCTAAATTGTGCAATTATTAAGAGTGACTTATTTCAGCATCCATTTGTATGACTCACAACATCTTATCCTCTTCATTTGTAGTAATTTATTTTAATTAGCC